TCATTTGGTCCAAAGGGCAAACGCGCAAGCGCCTGGTCCCCCATCATGGGCGAGCCGCTCGAACTATCCGGCGCAATGGCCACAGAAGTCGTATTCCACACCTCCTTGAAACCCTCGTTGCAATACCAGCATTCGTACATGCTCGCCCGCAACGGAATGTCCGTTGATTTCACACCAGATATCGTTCCGCCGCGTGACGAAGACGCACTGCAGGATGGCGAGACGCTCGTCTGCGTCCTCGTAAGCATGACGTTCCGCTCATCAATCGTCGGTGTTGTTCTCAAGTCTTCGCCACAAGGAAACAATACGTATCGCCGTGTTGGCCGCTTCGAATGCTACGAGTGCACGCCTGAGGGTATAGATGAGGAGATGAGTGAGGATGCCGAAGCGCTGTTTGAGCATTGGTTCCCTGAAATTCAGGATATGACGCAGTTGGATAATTATCCGCAGCGTACCTTTACGGTTGTCTAAGGGGTTCTAGAACTCATGTGCTTGGCTAATTCTGGGGAAGAAAATGTAGCATGGCTGGAATTTGGTCACGTGGCTTTTTTTTGGCTCGACTGCTTGGAGCGTGTGGAAATGAGATGTAAGGAATGATTCTCCTATTCAGCTTTTTTTGTATATGTACGATACCCATACTTCACTTTTCTTTTGGCCGGTTGCCAATATAGTGGGATATTTTCTTTATGATGCTATCTTCTTTGAAGAATTGGGAAACATGGGGGTTACAACTAGACTTGATTATGTATTTGGTATCGTCTGTTCAAAAACTTTTATGATCGTAACGGGCTTCCGAGTTCTTCTAGAAGGTTTATCTTGCGGTGGTCTAGATGCACTAACGAAGAAAATAAGAGAGTATGATGGCTTGTAATGAGTGTTTCTCGTTGAACTAATGATTGAAATTTTTATCATATAGCTTTACTCGACTTGGAAATGTTCAAGCGGCGTGTATAATTGCTCGATATATGAGCAAGCAATTATGCTGTGTTTTGGGACTCAAAAGTGTCCTGTCTATGGCAATGGTGTGCGGCATTAGTTTCTGGCCTTGTGGCCTGGGGTTCGTGTCATATGCACAAGAGCGCCGCGTAATCCTTCCTATAGATACCACAGACGATAGTGATGGGCATCGCGCAGAATTGCCGCATCTGGCCTCAGCAAGATGACCAATCGTTTTTTCGATGGCTGCTGCGAAGGCACGCATATTTGTGTGGGACGGGCAAATTTATCGCTCCCGTCTATCGAGCCTGATGTGAGGGCGGATATTTGTGTCCAGCGGGTTGGCTTCATTGCTGGGCAAACTCTGGCCTCACTTCCATATTGGTTTGTACATGACTCTTCAGCGCCGCCCATCGATCCTTGACAGCGTCGGCCCCGTTTGTGCTCGCTGTGGTCAATTGAGCCAAGTTTGCATTGAAGCGCGCCTTCTCGAGCTTTTCGAGTTTTTCCTTCCTCTTCTTGGCACCCTTTGTTCGCTTCATGCTCTCCATTTTTTGTTTTGGCTGTAATATACGCGCCTGGCCAAGCTCAATGTCGCCGTCTGTGTCTCCACCAGGAAGCGCATCCGCGAGGGACTCGAGGTTGGCAATGAGCTTGTTGTTTGGGCGCCTGCGCTTCTGCGTCTTGGCGGAGGATTTTTCAATCTTGGAAACAAAGGATGAATGCTTAATTCTCTGCTTGTCGCGCTTGCTTGAGGGAAAAGATGACATGTCGTCGGGCTTGGGCAAGACTGCAGTCGTAGGGCGGGCGACACGAGCCGACTTTGCGCGCGCCGTTGTGCGCTTCTTGATGGGAGCCTGAGGCGCATGGTCAGTGATGTTTTTTGTGTACATGGCAAGCCGTAGGAAACATACCATAATGGTGCGATGCCGTTGCGAGTGTTTGACAAAGTTGGGGACGCAGTCGCAGAACCTCGCCTGGCTGTCAGAAAATCCTTGTCGATAAGGAAAGAAGAGGATTCCATGTTCGGAAGCCCCCACACCCGACCACCTGCGACGTCACGCACCTTGTCCTCTTTGTCGTACGCACAACCTCATCTGCGTCATACAGTTCCTTGTCCCACCTCATACCCGCACGCTCATCGGGCTTCGAATATGGCTACACCTGCTCTTGTGCATCCCAACATCAATGCGACCCCCGCGCGGGCTGAGGTCGGCTCAATCCGCCGTGGAACATGATGATACTCTTCGATTCCGATGATCCCCTTACTGACTCATATCTGATGGAGCCTTCCTCGTCAGCTATGAAATCTGCCCATGCCTGACGGCCTTCGCTGTGGACAAATGGCTTCTTGGTGGCTGGTTGTGTTGACCTGAAGTCCGAATCATGTACCTACCACGAGCATAAGCGAACACCATCGAAAAGTCCGCGTGGCCTGAGGAAGCTGCCCTCCACTCTTGTCACATCTTGCCAGGCTCCATGCCCACGCAGCATGACCGTTGGGGCCCTTGGCTGACCCAACTCCACCACCGGACTTCGCTAACTACAGCTTATTCTGGCCAGCATACCATTGACTTCAACCCACACCAACACAAACAGCCATCTTCATCCCCGTTACGCTACGTGACACTACACCATTCTAACATCCGTTTCCTTACTCAGGAAAACATGGATCCCATTCACTCTCTTCTGCCTTAGCCGTGTCAGTGTACGTGGGGTATAATTGCTTCTCGGTACTTGAAACCCACACTGAGACGATCGCAGTGGCCTGAAATCCCTGGCATACACTGGATATCAGCAACACGGCCTCTAAAAGACCCTTGTGCTACTGTGGCGTCATTTGAGCTACCAGCATCGCGGAATCTGGACTCAGCTCCACGGCATTTCTCCACCCTGGATGCCGGCATAGGCGCTACTGATATGCATCAAACCTATCCCTTCCTAACACTTCTTGCATCCTTATTCGCTCTTTTCAGCCTTCTCTTTCGTTACCACTCCCATTTACGGCCTTCTTGGCGAAACCTTATGGATCGCACACCCTTCCTTCCGCGACAAAAGGCAATCATTCGCGAAGACGGGGAGACGCGTACATCCTGGTGATCCGGACTCTAGAAAAGTATTACAAACATCGTATCCCAATGTCCGAAAATTGGACACATCGGACTTCCTCCATGTCCACATGGCCACTAACATGCTACTTTGATAAAGATTAATTGTGCTCAATCTAATGCAATTTCCGGACGCCCATCACTCACAATGTGCGACGAGCAACCCCAACAAGAGAATGCGCTCATTTCTGCTCAGAATCATGGAACGATTCTGCTAATGGTAGTCTGGTCTCTTGCTTGCCTACTGGTAGGATACTTCGCGCCAAATCATTTCCACTACTCACATATTGATGCAGACTCTCGCTGTGGTTTCAAGAATAATCGTTCGATATAGGTCAGGAAGCCACTACCGTGTACCATGGACCAACGACATTGTGATATTCATTACATTCTTATGTGCTCTGGGCAGCATCATTGTTACTTCCATGGCCGTCTTGTCAGGCTTTGGCAAGAAAGGTTGTCTTTTGAGTGATGGTGAGATGGAACAAATTCAGCTCAGGCTGTATGTCTCCACACTATTTTTCATCCTGGTCGCTAGCATATCGAAGATTTCGGCGTTGGTGTTTCTCTGTCGCCTGGCTGGAACTACTCTGCAAAAGGCCAGTATAATAATTACCAGCATATTGGCTGTGACGTGGACCATAGTTGTTTTGTCTGGTATGATCTTCCAATGCGAATTGCCGACGCCCTGGAGGATATGGACTGGCAAATGCATTCCATTGGTACGTTGGAGTATCAAATTGGCATTACACAAACATCTAATAGCCAAACAGGTACCTTTTTGGATGACTATGAATGCAGTTGATACCGCCCTGGAGGCAGTTATCTTCGCATACTTCGTATACAGTATATGGTGGCTGCGCAAGTCATTTCGTCAAAAGACGCTTGCGATATTACTTCTTTCGTTCCGATTAATGTAAGTGGATCTTAACTCTAAACACTTTATATTTGTCAGATCTAACCTTGGAATACAGGTTAATTGCAGAGTCTGTCATTCGACTCATCTATCTCACACCAGCCTACGATCGTGATGCGGGTCCAACCTACTGGTCGTTACCCTACCACATCGCTACACAATGCCACATCGCGCTTGCTATTTTCATAGTCTGCACTCTCTACTTGAAGCCATTTGTCAACCTTCAACAATCACGCTCAGATACTCTCACGCCCAGATCGGGACTCTCAAGGCATTGGTCTAGTACCACTATCGGTGGCACTCCCTATGAATCCGAGGACCCGTTTACAGCAAATTCGACTCTTTCTAAAGAACCCCTACCGTCTATTCAGGCTAGCATGTACATGCCGAAAACATCAATTGCGACAGCAACTTTGCCAAAGCCTGATATTCTTTTACCGGATAAGCCGACACCGAAACGGTTTGCCAAACCACCACCTAGACCACCACCACCAAGAGAGTCGCTACGTCCTGATATGAGCTTGTTCGTCAGACCAAATGGAGTTCGTTAGTCTGATAGCTGTATGGCTTGGAAATCTGAGGAAAAGCGGGCTTGATACGTTGAAGCCCAGGAATCTGGCGGATGACGGAGGAAAACGTACATGACTTCTCAGCACAAGCACGAAACTTTTCAAAATTTCTTTTCTTGAGATAAGGAAGCTGATCTTGATTTATTGATCGGGAGCAGGTTAAGAGCACTTACTCTAATGAATTGGTTAGCGGGAAACCCGTTTGAAACATGAAATGAAAGAATACCTGCATGTTTTTAGTTTCCTGAACAAACTTTGCTTGAGAGCTAATCGGCTACCGCATTAGGAATTCAGTACCTATATGGATACAGCACGTGTATGTGCGCCAAGTGCCTGCTCTTATGTTAGGTACTCACAACTCGTCCAACACGGTACTTGGCACTTCAACATCAACGTAAAAAGGCGACTATCAACCTAATCTCCCTGGGAACCCCCCCAAATATCAAACCAAACACATCCCACTCTTCCACCATGTCCTTCACTCCAACCAATATCGATCTCACAACCACCCCCTGCTTCCCCGCTCTCAACTCAACCCAAACCAACAGCCTTCTCAGCCTTCGCATCTCCTCCATCTTCGTAATTGGCCTTACCTCAACACTATCGGCCTGCTTCCCTCTCCTCCCACGGCGAAACCCCCGCTGGAAAATCTCCGGCGGGATATACACATTTGCGCGCTTCTTCGGCACAGGCGTTATCATCGCTACAGCGTTTATCCACTTGCTGGATCCGGCATATGAAGCTATCGGGCCACGGAGTTGTGTTGCTGCGGATGGGGTGTGGAGTAAGTTTCCATGGTGCGCGGGCATCGTCTTAACGTCGATCTTGCTTGTTTTCTGCGTGGACCTTGCGGCAGAAGTGTATGTTCAGGAGCGCTTCGGGAAAACCAAAGAAAGAGAAGGAATTGTACGGTGTGGAGAGCGGGAGGCGTTACTTGCTGCAGAGCAACAAGATGGTACTGCAACAAGAAAAGATAATGCGGCTTTTTCGTCGGATCCAGAGCAGAGTGAGGTATTCGTGCGGTCCCAAATCTCCTTCGCACAGCAGATCAGCACGTTTCTTGTGCTGGAACTCGGCATCATATTCCACTCCGTTATCATCGGGTTGAACCTTGGTGTCGTGGCTTCATCGACTTTTACTACGCTGTACCCCGTTCTCTTCTTCCATCAGTCCTTCGAGGGCCTCGGCATCGGCGCTCGTCTATCGAATATTCATTTCCCTCGCGACAAAGCGTGGATGCCATGGGCGCTATGTGCGCTGTACGGACTTACGACACCGCTGGCAATCGCGGTGGGCCTGGGTGTTAGGACTACGTATGTGCCGGAGAGTAGAGGAGGAGTGATTGTGCAGGGTGTTATGAATGCTGTGAGCGCGGGATTCTTGATTTATAGTGCTTTGGTCGAGTTGCTGGCCAAGGACTTTCTGTTTGATAAGGAGAGAACTAGGGATTTGGGTAAGTTGGGATTGATGATTGCATACGTCTTTGTTGGTACTGCTGCTATGGCGTTGCTTGGATATTGGGCGTAGAGATAAGAAAGACCAGTGTGTAACTTTGCATGGCTTGGTGTCAACATACTTGGGTTTATCTAGTAAGCTTGATAGTGAAATAGGGCGATTTTTGTGTCAATAGTAGGTATATGTTTGGAAGACATCTCTCCTCTCTTTGTATTGCACAAGGAGTGTGCTTCCACTAGTTAAAGAAAAGAATGGTTTCTGTACACAAGGTGCAAAATATACATTATTCGACACGCTTCGTATGCAAGGACGAAAGAACCTCTACTATGTTCTAGCAAAACTTACAGCCGCACCATCAGTCACCTTGGCCCCATGAGGACAAAAAAGATCTGTTAGGCCCACCTCATACAGTTCAGATCTCAGCAAAAAAGAAACACGCTGTTCTCCGCTCCCAGAATCGAACTAGGGACCTTTCGATTACAATTGCTATTACAGTCGAACGTGATAAACCAACTACACCAAGCGGAGTTGTCTATTCGATAATGAATAGGCTTGTATTGGTTGATGAGTAAGCCCAAAATTGATTGGTTTATGTCCTCATGATTACATTGCTATCTAAGTAAATGAAGGAATGCACTCATGCATAATACGCATAGTGGGGCAGCTGAATTGTAGAATCCTTCCGGATAACCAATTACGTGTGTCTAGGAGAATTTTTGAAGCTTGTATGAAGCTTGGCCCGAATAGGAAAGGGACGGTTATGGTTAATACGAGGTCTAAGTGACACCGCATGATGTAAATCTGCCAAGGGGGAAAGTTCTCCGGATTCTAGAATGTTGGCTCCTTGGCTAGTGGGGGAAGGCAGTAGTATACACTTCGTGCTTTTCGTATCATGGATATGATCTTGTGAATGCGGATGTGGAGTCAGCTAAGATATGGAGGGAAGGTATTCATTGGGCCGATTGACACGAGAAGCTACGGCAGTTTTCTGACCAATAGTGGAATAGTTCCTCTGTTGTAGTTTTGCTAGGTTAGAAACTAGATTGTGTGCCTGCGTATCAAGTTTTCTTTCAGGTAGCATGTGGAAGCATAGGGATCCAGTCTTTTTCTCCGAGCTGAGATCTGCTAATTGACCTAATGACATAATAGTTGTACTGGCCTAGCACAAAATACTTTCTAGGAATTAGTACGTAGGTTCAAATCAACGTGGCGCCCTTCACATGCTTTGTTTCCTCCGTCGATGCATGGAATGCGCTGGTTGTCGTTATGCATAACCAGCGGGAGATGTTCATAGTGCAACGCTAGTGGCCGCTAAATACGCAAATATGTTAGAAATTCCAAGACCAATGGAAAAAGTGTAGGGAGCATTTGCCCCTAAGAGCTTTCTGGCATAGCGGGCATAAGTGACAGGTTGTCAACGCAATGTTGACAGAGGCATTTCTGCTGCCCCAGGGTTTCTCAGACAATCTTTTCTACTCTTGCTAGAAACCCTGTCTAGTATCGTCCCCACCCTAGATATGCGGCACGCGCGGTTTTGCGAAAAAAAAAGAAACAGGACACGCGATAAACGCCACAATCGAATACGAGCTGTGAAACTTCTTTCATCACAAAATGCCATACTTGTTGCTTCCAACTCTCAAGGGTCCACTGGAGAACTAACAGGCGCGCAAATCGTATGATATGCACTGCAATCTATCTTGCGTCAAGATGACCCTGTTGGATTTGCATAGCCTGTTTCTGACACGGGGCCTTTGCTGTAGTATGCAAGCTAAGGCAGTTGTTCAGCTGTTATGTTGCTACATGAATTGGCTGCACAATAAGCTTCAGTGATACCTTGTACACTAAGTACTCGCATATCATTACAATTTTGGCTAGATGTCCGTAATGGGGCTAGGCATGGTTTGGCTTTTTTATGATCTGAAACAGGCCCATATGTAATATCACCGGTAGTAAGAGTTAACCACTTCTAGCATTGAGTAGGTAAGCAATGTGTATTATAGGTGAGCCATTCCAGATATTCCTTGGAGTGAACACGTTGTTATCTGTAAAGATCTAGTCTGCCTCTCTTACATAATTTTGCAGATTATGTAAGGATACTACCGAACAGATAAACTTGTAAAACAAGGTTAGCCGACAACACTTGGCGTAGAAGTAATCACATACCTAGTACACGGTACTACTACGTACTAGTGTTGCTTCCGTAACCGCCTGGGATAGCGGTCGGTGCTGATCTGACATGGTACAATGTCAAAGCAGCTCGGCTCATCAACCTAGCTGAACAGTGCGCCACTTGAGCGGTGTAAGAAAGTCTACCAGGATTTACGAAATGGAGAAACACAACGGTGTCTGTGTCCAAATTAGCATTAGAGGTGCGTTTTCTTGTTGTCCTTGGCCACATGAGAAGTTTATTTATTTTCACCGTTTCGGCTAAATCTATGATCTCACCAAGCGGTTGATGAGTGGACAATCTTGCTCAGGGAAAACGAAAGGATAAACACTTTTACGCAGATGAAGTTGGAAGACCAAAGATGCAATAATCTAAGCGCCGTAATTCACCAGGATTACCAAGATTTATCCTCTTCACCGTCTTCTAGTTAGTAGACCATCAGATCTACCAATCTAACCTTGGACGATCTGTCATTTACCATGAACACCCCACCACCCACCACCACCAACGCGCATGTATAAGCGCCTCTACCAGCTAGCCTTCATGCAAGGGCAACACATCACCCAGCCTCCAAGAATTAACCTTTCACAGCCACCCCTGTTAGACCCTTACAAGGCCACATCAACTGATCTCCCTACACCCGGAACAACCCGCTTTCCATGTTAACCCTCCACTTACGCCATTTCCCCCTCTGTTTCACACAAAACACCCTCTTTCAACCCCGTTAAATTACCCCAAGCACAGATGCTTCCCCTACCTTTCCCTCCAACCCCACCCTAATCTCGCTAATCGGATTTGCAAAGCCAAAACAATCACGGAGAATGAGACTACTCTTCCCACTCTGAAACTCTGGGGAACGAATAAAAAAAGAGGTGAGAGAATGATGTGCGGATGGTAAAGTAGATCGATTCGCCCCAAGGCGCTTGGTTGCAGCCGGCTTGGCTGGGCTGCTGGCGTTGCTGGGGGTTGTTGACTGAAGAGCTTGGGGCATGCATGTCGCATACGCAATCGTGTGAACGGGCCTTTAGTAAGAGGGGGAGGGGGTAACGTAAGGTGATCGGGCGCTTTTGCGCTTACTTAGTGCGTACGTACGTATGTGCGTTGCGTAGTGCTCGTATTCTTAGAGTAGTGTGTAGAGGGCAGGGTTAGGAAAGTTTGAGTCGCGTGATGTATGTCCATTTTAGGAACATCAAAAGATATACAGGGAAAAAGCAAGTTTTTTTGTTATAGACTTTCGCAAGGACTCTCGGCGGCGGTGGTCCTTCATACTTGGGAGTCTGAAATACGGGTAATACTTGACTCAGTTATTAGCATGCCCCCCTCCCAATCGGCATTTGTTTTGTCTCTTTTGTCCGAGTATCTCTTGTTTTTTTCTCTTCTTTTCCTCTTTGACCAAACAAGAACCCTTGCCGGAATATCAGACGAGCGAGCAAGTCTAATTTCACCGGCTTACTGCCATCGGTTGCTTATGCAAACCCGTTTACTTGGATCGGGCCGCTGCGGAGAAACGAAAAAACGATTGCGGACTTTTTTTTGTTTCCCTTTATCCCTCAGAAAAAAAACACGGGGCACAGAGCAAAAAAAAAGAGTGAAGAGTCAAAGGGAAGAAAGAAAGGATGTATTCTCGTTAAACCTGCCCTCAATACCAAACATCCCATAGAGTACCTAACCCACCCACCCTCCAAACAAACCCCTGTCCATCAACCACCTTCAACCCAAGAAAATATGCAACAACCCATGCACTCTTATCTGCATATTATCTATGAAAACCCGCTTCAAGCAAACCCAACCATAAAATATACAAAATAACATGCCCCTACGTCACCACCCCGGCCGATCCATGTGCAATCGCGGCGCCAACAAAAAAAGCCCCCCCCCCTCCCCTGGCAAAAGAAAAGCCCCTCGTAACTTGACTTATTCGCAAAAAGGTGCAAGGTATACGTGCGTTTGCCGGAACTAAATCCGGTATACGTGAAATGTTCAAGGGTGAGATAATAAAAAAAAGCAATGAGGTAAACGACATCGGGGGAAAAAGCAAAAACGAGGCTAGACCAGCGCGAAGATAAAAAAAACCATGCACAACATCAAACTGCTGCGAAGTAATGCCATGGTCGAGACCTCACACAGTTCAATAAGAAAAGTGTTTTAGTTCTTGGATGGGATATCAAATCATGCTTTTTTTTCTTACTTGATGCCGTGTAGCGTATACATGAGGCGAGGCAGGGGGAACTTGCGATATGTACTTAACAGTACTCAGGCAGAAGAAGATGGCGAGCTTTTTTTCTTCGGTTGATGATAATGACCGGGGACAAGGCTGATTTAGGGTCATATACTCTATCAAAGGGGTGGAAAACCTAGGTCTTCCATTTGGACATGAAGGGAGGCGATGGGTTGCTAATAATAGATTTGATAGTGAAAATGGATTTGCAAAAGTTAAAATGATTTAATGACAGGATGTATTTGATTCTCGACTTAACACAAAAAAAAGCGTTTAAACGAAGAAAGAAGAAGAAGTTTGGCAGACACAAATCGCAAGCTCAGGCAAAGTTCCAAAAAGTGGCGACAATGTAATCATGCAGAAGAATAATTTGCTGGCAGAATCTGATTGGCGGATCAAAAGGCTTGCTCTAGCGTTCTGTGGGTTCACCTGTATGTCCGAGGAAAATCAAGCAAATGAGGGCTTTTTCTTACATGTATGGTGTGTATGTATGGTGGGGGGGTGGGAAAGGAGGGGCGCATCATGATAGATGGCGAGCCTGCCAAGACTTTTGGCTCATCGGTGAGAGAGGGGGGGTCTCGAACTGGCAAGCATCTAGTTAAACCTGCACGGTTAGCAAATGCACCATTTTGGGCTCCAGGCAGAATCGCGATCATCGAGAAAGAAGGTGTGTGTGTGTGTGTGTGTGTGGAGAAGACGACCGGGGCGAAGGAAGAAATCACAGGCAAGATGTAAAATCGACGATGGGATAGAAGCACATGACGAGAAAAGATTGAAAGGGAGGATATATGCGCTAGCTGATACGACGCTGCCTCGTTTCTTCTCTCTTGTTGGGCTTGATGCCCAGACGGGTACTTGAATTTGACAGGTATGTAACACGCACACCAGGTGATGCAGGTGGGCATCAAGTTAGGCCTGTGCCTCTATCTTGAGTGTGACCAGGATGGCCTGATACTGTCACTCCCGCTGTCAGTAACGTAGGTGTCAAAATGCTGTCCTCCATCGCTTCTGCGAACACCCATTGGTGACAAGGCGCTAAACCATGCCCCTGGAAACACTCCTGCATCATTCTTGCTTGATTGAGCTAGGAAAGGCTTGTTGTGAAAGCACCTGGTTAATGTGGTACTCTGGCCCTGCGCAGTAGCCGTCGGCCCAAGTGGGGTTGAGTGCGCCGTGTAACATCCACAACGCGTGTTTGCATGCTGGCAGCCGTATGGAAAACTCGTAGAGTAAGAGTGACATGTGTCGTGCTAGGGTGATTCGCCGTGTACTTTGAGCGACATATTCTACCGTCACGAATCATCGCAACACTGCATCATGATAGATCTGTTTTTGGGAGCACCTTGCACAATGGCAGAAGGCAGATGAGCCTACCCTTGGCTAGGGAAAAAAAATTGATATCCCTAAATGAGAAAGGTCCAGAAGCTTGGGTATACGAATTCATCCTCGAATATGCGCCTGACTTGCTCCAAGACGAATGATTCTACCTTGCCCACGTTCTTGAGAACTTGTTTGCCACTGCCCTGGCCACCGATCTCGCTTTCGACTTTGATGTTTTCTAGTAGCCCTCCAATCTTCGGGCGCTGCACAGGGCGTGGATTTTGGCCTCGTGCATCTGTCTGGAGACCGTTGAAGCCAGTGTCGCTACCGACCAAGGCGTCTGCGTCGTCAGGCGACAAAAAGCAGAAATGGGCCCGCTTCTTGATGTAGGCGAGAATAGCAACACCATCAAATGTGAGTCCGGTAATGTTTAGTTTGAGAGGGATACCGACAAAGCTTGGCATGGGGTAGTCAAGAAGGATTTCCGCAGTCAAGGACATTTTAATATCCCCAGAATATTGCACATGCGTCACGACTTGAATATCATCGGGGCTCTTCTCGTGCATGCGGTTTGGAGATGCAGATGGGGTCCGGACATAGCTATTTTGAGAAAGGCCATCATCCGATCCAGCAAAAGACGGCCTCTTGGGCTCGTCTTGTTGATGTCGTGAAGAAGGCCGGGAGCTAGGGTCTGGATGAGACTGTGGCGTGAGTGTTAGCGAATTGACAGATGCAGCATGACGAAGGCGCATATTGGTCGGAGTTGCTGGCCGGCCATGGGGATTATCGAGCCAAGTGTGTAACTGTGCGCCAGCTACAGCAGCGAGAGGTGTTGCAGCGCCAGACAAGCCTGCGCTCAAAGGGAGATGGAAGTAGTTCATGTTGGAGGTGCCACCGGGGATGCCTGGTGTGAGTGACCCAGGAAAGAAGGGACTGCCTATCTCATTGGGAGCCAACGAACCACGCTTGTTAGACGGCCTAGTACGAGGTTGAGACGGGCGTACGTGGGCATGATCGGGGTGGAGTCGTTGGGGATTTGCCGTCTCACGGCTGCCTCTTTCTTTGCCATGCCTGTCCCTCGATGGGCGGCGTGATGGGTCTCTCGACTCGCGTAGCTTGTCATCAGCGTGTAAGGCATCGTCGTCAGGCTCGGGGTCGGGGTCGCCGGCTTGCTCGTCTGGGTAATCTTCATCATCCTCGTAGAAGTCCGGCAGTGGGTCGCATATGTCCTTGATTTCAATTTCGGGAGCGACGCTGCCAAAATCGAACGAGTGCACGTGAACGGAGCGAATGAAGCGCGGCAGCGTCACTTGCTGAAAGCGGTCATGGATAAAGGCGCGTATCTTCTCTGCACGGGCGGAGCCTTCTGCGCCGCCTGTGATGGTGTCCCAGTTGATATCAATGGACATTGCTGGAGATTGGATGTTGGGATGGGTTGATGACAGAAAGCCACGGCTACTGATACCGGATGGGGACGAGCGCACCCCCCGGGCCGGGCGCACAAACAACGATGCCGAGCAGCGGGCCAGTGAGCAGCCTGCCCACTAGGTTGTCGCTTGCGCAGTTCATCTCTTGACGAAACCTTCGGATGTGATGAGACCGTCACGTCTGCATCAATACCCTGTCTGCCGTACCGCTTGGTGCATCGCTTGACTCAATCCTCTGCAGCGAGTCCCGCATGTGTTGAAGTCTTTACCAGGACGTGGCCTCAGTGTCTAGTCGAACAAATGCGGGATGCGGAACCACGAACCAGAAGAAGGTGCCATTGCGCTGTCGCATGTGCCGCTACAGACGCGCCCATGTTGCAGATCGTCCATGTGATGCTGCTGGAGAATTAAAGAGCAACAGAAGAGGCAAATAGAGGCCAGGCCGAGAACAGGGTTGCCACTGAGCATCTGCCACAGGATATTAAATTAACATTGACGACGCGGACCAAGAAGGCAAGCAGACAAGCACGTAATCTTGTCAAGCGCTTCCGGGATGCGTCACAATCATGCCCTGGATGCGTGTGATGGCAAGGCTTGTCAGTGTGTATGGTGTGGCTCCGGTTTTGGGTAAACGAACCACGTCGGCAGAAGTCTGCCTGAATGGCTTCTAGAAGAACCGTTACCCGGTCGGCCACGGACAAGCCACTGCGCGCGTCGACGTACGCCTCCAAGAAGGTACTTACATACATCATACATATGTATATCAAGGTGCACGTATACCCGGTCGACTCGGCTATTTGGCGATTAGACGAGGAGACACAGTGTGGCATACTACCTAAGTACATCGCCCGCGGCTTTGCATTCTCATCACACCAGTTCAGAAGCTATTGGCAATACGGGTTCCCCTACTAGCAGTTTGGCCCGACGTGCACATCATGCCATGCTGCATCCTCTTAGGACAATACTGTACCTGAGCTGACAGCAGCCGTTCATGTGCCGCGGCCCGTCCCTTAGCAGGATGATGGCTACTATGTCTCGAGCATCATGCCATATTGCCCTCATCTCCAAGTCGGGTGTTACGGCCGGTGCTAGGTGGCTAGCAGGTGCGGCATGACAGAAAGTTGAGTTTGATCTATTGTATCCTATCACGATCCAAGAATAGACAGTGCCTCGGCCACATTTGCTCGCCTACCGGGGTGCTAGTGCCAGGCCTCTTCACCAGCTACTAAAAACCAATATAGTGAAGGGCGAAGCGCCTGGGTCGTTGTTTCGACTCGCATTAGTGACTTTGAGGCTGGCGTAGGCGGTGCCTCAAAGTGTCGTCTGAGAATGGTAGACTAGTAGATTGGCGAAAAACGGCAGTGCATGTGGCTGCTTGGGCGTGATACTGTCTTGTAGATCAGTCGTGATTCATTGGTTGTGGATATGGTCTCGGGATGCGCGCCAGGCGCGCAATACAAAGCATGAGCTCCACAAGTAAATATTATGGCTACCCGATTCAAGAAGGAGACCTCTATACCGGGTGCCTACGTGTTGATTGACTTGCTCGTATACTGGATTTGCCCCCCCTCATGTCAGGATATGTGGGGCACCAGGGACTGCAGACAGCCATGTGGTTATGGCAACGACAAGATAACAAGAAAGAAGCCACATGGCTCAGCGTCGGCCCATCGCACGACCATATTAGAAAAAGCGTGGTATCCATGAAGTAAGAAAAGCTGTGAAAGTAGTACAAGTGAGAAAGTGTTTCGCAACACCAGCCTGTATCCCAAACGCCCGACTTTGTGGGCTCAGAGTCCAAATAAGTCACAATGCCCCCTAAAACGCCAAAACTTTTTTTCGAATTCCGTGACGCCGTAAAGTGTAGACTTGATATGGGGGTGGGCACTGAAGCCTCGGGACAGAAGCTGGCCGTGCTCCGCCAAGTCTTGGACGAGGAGGAGCCAGAGCAGCAGCAGCAAAGTGCCATTTGAGCATAATAGCGCGGCAACGGTAAAGGCCCACAAGGTGCAACTGGCGAGGTATTAGAGGAGGGGGATTGTGCGAACAAGGCGACGGTAACACACTAGAGGCAGGCTTGTCAGACCGGGTGTGACGTGCAGGGGTAAGGGGAGAAGCGGCAGTAAGTACCTGTCAATGGTCACATCTATCACACTTTTCGTCGTGCTTGACCGTCTTTGTATTGCTCACGCCGCAGGGTGATGTCCTCGACGTGGCGCATGGGGCCTTTTCCGCAATCTCGTGGCCGCAGCCGTATTTGTGCACGACCTTGGTACACATGTTGGTGGTGCTATAGGAGCGGGGAAGGCGCGGCCGCACGGCGGGGGGAAGGCGCCTCCTGCAACGGCGTGGGAGGGAAGGCGAGACGGCGGGCGGGCGAGAGCAGGGAAGGTGGGGGTGGGCGCAGAGAAGTGCTGATTGGCCGGGGTGGTGGAGAGGTGTTGCTTGGTGCAGACGGCTGCTGTGGCAGCTTGAGACGGAGACGGCAATGCGGAGCGCAGCTCGACGGGACGGAGCTGGCACGGGCAACGGGCAAAGAGGAAGAAGAAGAGCAGCAGCAGCAACAGCAGCAACAGCAGCAGCAGCAGCAGGACCACGGGCGGCCAAGACGGCGTGTGGGCGAGAACAGGCGGCGGGGCAAGGTGTTGGCGAGTGGCAGCAGCAGTAGTAGCAGCAGCAGCAGCAGCAACAGCAGCAGCAGCCCGGCAGGAGGGAGTGGTGGCAGCTAGGGTTGTGGGTGAGGGTGCTGGAGAGGAATTGGTCGGAGCGTCTTGGGGGGGCACAGGGCGGGCAGCGCAGAGCGATTTATAAGACAGCCATTGCAGCGAGCCAGCGTGACGGTAACGGTCGAGAGATTGTTAGATTGCCTTCGCTCCCGTTTGCAACGAGGCGCGACAGTCTTGTACAGCCGTTGGCTCCGTGCGGAAAGGCCAGGACATACATACGCGGAGCTGCTAGCCTTGACGCCTGGGTCGCATAGCTGCAGCTGCAGCCAGCAGCGCATCGGCCAGGGTGATCCCGCCTCCTGCCCAGCGCCAGCGCTGTGACCACCAGCCCACCAGCCCGCTCTCTGCCCAATCGCGCCCTGCTGCACCGCCGGACGCACGGCTGCGGCGTGAACCTCCAATCACGCCCCACATGCTTTCTCCTCACCACACGCTGCCCATCCTGCCCATCCTGCCCATCCGCCCCGCCATCACGCCGTCCGCTCTCCCCAAGCATGCGCCGCCCACCGCCCACCACCACCTCTGCTGCTTGCAGAGAGCCCGTCCGACCGCTGCTGTCACGCTCTGCCCTTGCGTGACCGGCCACAGGGCTGACAAGCTGCCAATATCATACACACACTTGCTGCACCGGCCCGTCCCCCCCAAAGCAGCACACACAGCCTGCTGCTGCTGCTGCTGCAACACCATGTCCGCCCTCTATCCGCCGTCTGCTGCCCGTCCACGCTCCCGAGTAAGAGTCTGGCGGTGCCGGCTGACTCAAATGCAAAGGGCTCGACTCACGCCATAGCTTCTTCACCTCTCGCGCCTGGACCACCCTCCTGAGCAATGAATGCTACCCTGGCTCGGCTCGCGGATGCACACCATTGGCACATGGCACCCTGGTCGCTCTCGACGACTCGTAGCCCGCTGCGGAGGAGGAGCAAGGAGAAAAAGAAGCAGACGAAGAAGAAGATGGCAAGCGCAGCCACGCCTGCCGTGTGCTGACCACAACTCCACCATGGCGGCCGGGCACGGGTGCTACCTTGACTACTACTTACTTACTACTACTACTACTACTACTATTACTACCACCACTACAACCACAAGGGCAGCCCCTTGCATATTGCATACCCGCCTCAGGGCCAGCGGCATTGCAGCGTCTGCGAGGTTAAAAGTAAAAGTGTCGTGACGGCATGTGCCAGTCCCGCAACGACGTCGTCTGGGAATTGGCAGGCCCAGATTTGGAAATTGCAAACTTTGGCGCATGCATGACTGTCGCCATGCATGATTCGCGACGCCATGGAAACATTTCATGCTGCTCACATCCGTCAACATCCATAGTTTATAGCTAAATGAATGGAGCGGCACAATTACAAACAATCAGCAAATCATGCCCCCACCACGCTACCCTCAGCTCACAATGTCAGCGTCGCTTGAAACGCCAAAAGTGAAGACGGACGGGCGGGCGGCCAATGGCCCGTTTACTCATCAAAATATGTGACTTTGCCGGCCGGCCTTCCTCCACATCACGACGGGTACCGCAAGGAAAAAGCAATGGTGGCATGCGAGTGCAATGTGGTCATATGTGCTGCCTCCAGGACGCGGTGCATGGCGCTGTGCAGCAGGATCGCGATACAAGCACTGGCGGGCGGATGCTGTGTAGCCTGTCAGATTTTCTTGTTCCATGTCTCTTCAACGGCCGCAGGGGTAGCTGGGGGACACGTTGCCCAAAGCGCTCTAGCCTTTCGGCCCGCTCTTACCTGATCGACCTGTGCGACCAGGAACTCCACATTGCAGACGCGCCGCCGCTCATCCAACAGCAACACGGCCTGGTTTGTTTTGGCTGGTGCAGCATCTGTGCATGTGCTTAGCCCATCGCATCTCCTGCTCCTGCTCCTGCTCTGCTCCTGCAAAAGCAAATGCCTCTCGTATACCTGCAACACGACTTTTTTTTTCTGCGCTCCCATGCTCCACAAGCCGTCGTCAGCTCGAACCAGGTTCGCTTTCGGAACTTCCCTCTCGCTTCTTGCTGCGGCCGGCACTGCATGTGGCTTGTCCCCATGGCCCCCCGACGCGCATCACAGCAGCCTCATCTGACCAACGACGTGGTCCGGCGTTTTCTCGGCAATCTGACATTGCTCACTCTACTTAACTACATGGGCAGATCGCTGCAGTCCGCAGTGTGGGGTGCTGAACACGTCCACGCACTCGACAGACACTGCGCCCTTTCGATTATGCAGTCGCCCAAACTATATGCATTGACAACTGCAACTGATGAGCCTGGTGGCGATCTCCACGACGCCATATCTCGGCTGCGTTTACCACGCGCGGTGCGCTACATCAGACTGCGCTACACTACACTACCGTAGTATCTATTAGTGCGCTTGCCATAGCGCTACTTTTCCCCAAATCCTCCTCCTTGCACTATCAAAATCTCTTCACTCTACCTCTCGCATCAGCTACAACCCCCCTCCGTAGAAGCCATGCACCCAACATCTCGCCAACCATGGCACATATACCGTGCATGTTGTTGGGAGTTGCTTCTGGTCCATTTACTGCAACAGGATCTGCGTCCGAGATGCGTCGTGCTAACCGGGCCAGGCGCCTCTACATAGTACGTTGGCACATGGACAAGCATGGCCTGAGTGCAGTCCATTGACGAGTGCGACTAGCATTCATATGTACTCCACAGGGTGCGCACAACGGTACTTGCCGGACCCAACCTGTCCCGCCTAAAAATTCATCCGGCACCTATCTCTCCCTCACCCGTCCATATGCTGTAAATATTCTGCGCATGTGTCAGTCAGAAGCCACAGACAAAGCTGCGTCTTAACTCGCCCATAGCAGGCCATGAATTGTGCAAGTCCAACCTCAGAGCCAAGTATTTTCCAGATATCCACGCTATCATGAGCCGACCAATCCCGACGCCCATCATGTCTCAACATATATCAATCACCTCTGCCCGGCCTGCTTTGCATCAAATCCTAATTATACGCGACCCACACAGCAATAGGAAAGATCCATGGCAACCTGAAAATAGCCACACCAGAATCCACTGCTAGCATTGTGCTCTTTTGCCATTGCTGGCCTGACAGGGACATGCTCCTGACAGCAGCTTCTTGCGGAACATGCGGAGATTTGAGAGGGAAATGCAAGGTACAAAAGTCCACGTACCGTGTCAGTCGATCAGTCGGTGCATGATTGGGCGCCGATGCGAGTATGCGGCATATGTAGGATCTGCAGCACCTCCGTCATTGGTGGTAGATTAGCCGTACACCCGCGGTCTTTCGAACTGCTACAGGGTGCGTTGACACCATCTACCTATTGCAGATCACCATAATGTCCATATGCGCATATCGGCAGATGTTGCTGCGTAAAGCGCTCGCGACTCTTTGCAGTACCCTAGTCGCTTTTTGTCTTGTAAAGCGGACCGTCAATATTTCGGAAACCGTTTGGCCCAGCGACAGAAAAGGTCAAGTCTGCCTACTAGCCTGCCGCCTGCATGAAGCTGTCCTCCCACTCCCGAAGCTTTGCGGTGTGGAGTCACATCCGGAATCTCAAGCTGGCCTCCGGGACACGACGCGCTACAGCTGTGGCGGCTTGCTTAGTCCCAGCCCGGTATGGTGTTGGATATGGGTTCGCGTACTGCTTGCACTTGCATCCGACAGGAGAAACGGCTATCGTGGTATCAGCTATCTATGTTAGAACCCCGAAGCTTGCAAGATGCTCATGCCAGTGGAGTTTGGCAAGGCCTTGCGTCCCGGCCAAGCCGCAGCCATTCATGTTGCATGCATTACTCGTCTTTTGTCCGATTCTTCCATCATATTTACCCTACCACAACGTTTGCATGAAGTACACATTGTGTAATTGTCTAGTCGCTCCCCATATTTTTCTTTGCTCTGTTTATCGCCTGTCATGGCCAGCAAATCTGGTGCGGGGCGCACGCACGTGGGATTCTTTTTTTGATATCGTCATTTGACGTCACCGATAAACCAACATCGAGGCACATTTCTCTCATTTTTTGGCGTGCAAAGCCTCGTACTTTGGAACGACTCGAACAGGAGAAAGGCCCGATAGGCGTCAGAGATTTCCGATTCCTCATCATGGAAATCTGGAATTGACTGTGATGGCGCTGGGGCGCGGGGCGCATGGCAAAGTTGAGCCTCGCGTGGTACATCGGCGTCGCTCGGCAGTCGATTGAATCGATCAAATCGAGATGATCGAACATCATCTTTGCTGCCATTGGCTACTTACGTCGAATCCACTTTCCACCGCTTCATCGAAGTGCAGTCCATGACCTGTCGAAGTACGTGTCAGAGTCGTTTAGGCAACTCAATGCCGGACGACCATCGCCTCACGTCGCCATGACGTCAAGATGTAAACAGGTGGTCGCGACGCGACGCCCTCGGAGGGGTACAAAGGGAACGCTCCCCGCGAGCCTCAAAGTTTGTCATCTCGACGATAGACATTGCCAGCCGACTCGACTTTGAGAGATCGAAAAAATGGCATCTGAAATACTAGGCAACGTTACGGAGAAGGCCAAGGACCTCGCTGGATCCAAGTCGACCAAGATGGCACAGCTTGCTGAAGTCACCAAGGATGTCCACGACGACAAGTGGAGAATTACCAGCGACTACGGAGTGAAGCAGAACAACACCGACGACTGGCTGAGGGTTGCCACGGACGACCAGACTGGCCCTCTGTTGCTCGAGGACCAATTCGCCCGTGAGAAGGTATGATTGACCACCGAACAGCCGACTTATTCGCCACATCGCTAACGGCGTTAGATTCACCGGTTCGACCACGAAAGAATTCCCGAGCGTGTTGTTCACGCTCGTGGCTCCGGTGCCTTTGGAAAATTCACTCTTTTTGAGTCGGCCTCGGATGTCACATCGGCTGGAATCCTCACTGATACTTCGCGCGAAACTCCAGTCTTCCTACGGTTCTCGACTGTGCTCGGTAGCCGTGGTTCTGCAGACACTGTCCGCGATGTACGCGGCTTTGCTGTCAAGTTCTACACGGAAGAGGGCAACTGGGATATCGTCGGTAACAACATCCCTGTGTTTTTCATTCAAGACTCGATGAAGTTTCCCGATGTGATCCACGCTGGCAAGCCGGAACCGGACTGCGAGGTGCCGCAAGCGCAATCTGCTCACAACAACTTCTGGGACTTCCAGTACATGCACCCCGAAGCCACGCACATGTTCATGTGGGCCATGTCTGACCGCACGATTCCTCGCTCGTACCGAATGATGCAGGGTTTCGGTGTCAACACATACACTCTTATCAATGCTAAGGGCGAGAGGCATTTTGTCAAGTTCCACTTCACACCTGAACTCGGTGTCCACAGCTTCGTCTGGGATGAGGCGCTGAAGATTGCTGGTCAGGACCCAGACTTCCACCGCAAGGACTTGTGGATGGCCATCGACAGCGGTGCGTACCCCAAGTGGAAGTTTGGCATTCAAGTCATTCCCGAAGCAAAGGAGCACGACTTCGAATTCGACATTCTTGATGCTACCAAGGTGTGGCCTGAAGAGCTTGTCCCCGTCCGATACATTGGCGAGCTTGAGCTCAACAAGAACCCTGACGAGTTCTTCACACAGACTGAGCAAGTCGCCTTCTGCACAAGCCATATTGTTCCCGGCATCGGCTTCAGCAACGACCCTCTTCTACAGGGCCGCAACTTCTCTTACCAAGACACCCAACTCTCTCGTCTGGGCATCAACTGGGAAGAGCTACCAATCAACAAGCCCGTCTGCCCCGTCATGAACTTCAACCGTGACGGAGCCATGCGACACACAATCACAAAGGGTAAGGTCAACTATTGGCCTAACCGCTTCCAGACTGTGCCACCTGCGACGGAGAAGGAGGGTGCATACGTAGAGTTCCCCGAGAAGACTGCCGGCATCAAGGTACGCATGCAGAGCAAGAAGTTCCGGGAGCACAAGAGCCAGGCCGAGCTCTTCTACAACTCCATGTCGGAAAACGAGAAGATGCACATGAAGGCTGCTTTTGCCTTTGAGCTTGACCACTGCGACGATCCCGTTGTGTACGAGCGCCTCTGTGAGCGTCTGTGCGAGATTGATCTCGAGCTCGCTCAGAGTGTTGCCGAGATGGTTGGCGGCGAGCAACCGACTAAGCAGACTCGGCCCAAGCACAACAAGAAGGCCAAGGGTTTGTCGCAAATGGACTTCCAGCCCGAGAAGCCTACCATTGCGACTCGCATGGTGGCAATTCTTATTGCCGACGGCTACGACAAGGCTGCCTACACTGGTATGAAGGCTGCTTTGACCGCAGCTGGCGCTCTTCCTTTTACCATTTCGCCTAGAAGGAACAAGATCTTTGCTGATGGAGAGGACAAGAGCGGCTCTGGAGTAGTAGCAGACCATCACCTTGAGGGCCAACGCTCCACCATGTACGACAGTGTGTTTGTTCCTGGTGGCGCCAAGTCGATTGAGACGCTTAGCAAGAACGGGCGTGCGGTACACTGGGTGCGTGAGGCATTTGGTCACCTCAAGGCCATTGGTGGTACTGGCGAAGCGGTTTCCTTCATCAAGCAGGCTGTGGATCTACCCGGCATGGAATTCTCAACGTCTGGTGATGTGGTCAACAGCTACGGAGTGGTTACGGCTACGGCAGTGCAGCCTGAGAGCTTCAAGGAGGCGGTCAACATGGCGAAGGAGGCCAAGGACTTTGTTAGCGCGTACATGTATGCGATTTCGCAGCACAAGAACTTTGAGCGCGAGACTGCGGGACTGAACGCCATGGTTGCGTACTAACGGCAGGGAGATGATTTGGAACTGCCTGTCCTAATGATTCAGCTGATTAATGTTAATGATACCAATTGTGCAAAGCGTTGATACTCTACTCTTGCTGTTGCTATGTTTTTATTGGTGGAGGAAAGGCATTAGTTGTGATGCATAGTAGTGCTTTTCTGCAGGGTCTCAGGATATCACTTTGCTCAGTCACGCCAAGTGGTTGTCTCTTGACGTTGAAACTACGTTTGTGTGTATGTAGGGTGCACATGACGAAGTATTAGTATAGGCACAGAGCGGGCCGACTCGACGCGTTACAAACTACTGTGTCAGGGCCCTGTCAGGTCTCGAGGATATTGAACATGTAGGCTTGGTGCGGGGTAGAAGGAAACTTGAAACTTACGCAGCTCGTCAGCGTCACTTCTCTCGTGAGGCGGAGGCTGCGCTGCTGAGCCACAGAGCCACAAGCCCCACGCTTCATTGGCGGCACTGCCCGCGCTAGCCTCTTTTGTGCGGGCTGCGCCCTTGTGCTAAGCAAAGGGCGATACAGCGGTTTAGCGCTCGTCTCGACCCACCCACTGCTTTCTTTGCATTCACCCTCAGCCATTTGATTGTGCATTAACATCCGCCTCCCCTCTCTCCCCGCAGACTAGTGTACAACCAGATGGAATGTGCGGGATGCGGGAGATGCATATCTAATACCTAGCTCGTACGTCACTCAATACATTCCGCATCCATTGTTGCGTCGCGAACCACTCTCTTGGCACAACCGTAATTTACAAGCGGCTGGCGGCAATTCCACGCTATTCTTCTCACCGGTGGCCTGAACCTCGGACGGTGATCAACACTCAGCCCTTCAGCGCCGGCAAGGGCTGCATGGATGACTCTAAACGCGAAACGCTATCAGTTTGTAGGCGCAGCGCCCTTTGATCTAAAATACCAAACACCACGCCTAAGGCTTCTGAATACCCTTTCTTCCGCCATTTTCTGCTCACACCCTTGGAGCCCGTGATCGTCAAACGTCGACCAAGACGCAATAAAGGCGCCTTTTCTACCGACGCCGCCCTCTTGACACAGACCATCTAGGAAACATCATCAACGACATGGATCATCAGGGCGCAGGATTCGCCTTTGATTCCAACATGGATTTCAGCAACATGTTCGCGGCCGCGCCCGAGACATTGTTCAAGCCAGCGGATAACACTTCTGGCTTCTTCTTCTTCGCTGACGAGGGCATCGACACCACTGCCTCATCCTTTATGGATCCCATCACACTAGGCACCCCCCAACAGGGCCCCTTCGACATGAACATCCCATCTGCTGCGAGTTACTACCCACAAACTCCAGCATCACAGTTTCTTGGCTCCGTCCCCACACAGCTTAATACTTACGGAAAGCGCCCACTACAGCTCGAAGCCGACGACTTCCCCCAGTCCAAGCGTCAAGCAAGTTATGACTTTCCTCTATTCCCAACACCACCCGCCACAAACACCACCTCCAGTTGGGGCCTGGAGGCCACTCCTTCAACTACCACAGTAGAAGGTCTGTCGGATGAAGCGGCGGATGTTTGCGCAACATGGTTTACCAAGTTCAACGTGCTCCCTGGGTATGCACCCCCAAGTCTTAGGCATCCTCACCTTGATTTGCTAACAGCCCTTGAGTGACCGACACATCGATTCATTAAGCCAACTCACTGGTGAGTCGGCAGATGCGATCCGGAGCTGGTTTGGCCAGCTTTTGAAGCAGGGCATGGGCAAGGGAGGCCCAAGTGACTCCGCTTACAAGTCTCAAACCGCACACATCCAGCAGCAAGACTCGTCCTGGGATGATCACACCTACCAGACAGACCTTCTGCAGGCCTCGCCATCACAACCACTACTACTGGAGCACATGACTACCCCGGAAATCTCATACAGCCAGGACAACGTTGTCTCAACTACCGTCCAGCCAGCCACCGCTACCAGAAGCTGCAAGAAGCGCTGCACACCTACCGATGACCTAGAGTTACTTGGTCGAGACCCCAGGAAAATCTATCAGTGCACTCGGAAGTGTGGCAAGCGGTATGGCCGAAAGAACGACTGGAAGAGAAAGGAGGAGGAGGGCTACCCATGCAAGTCGTGGGTGTGCAGCCTATGCATCAGTGAAGGCGTGGAGAACGTCAAGCCATGCTACAGGAAGTACCATTTCGTGCAACACTTCCGAAACATCCACGCCGATGTTGACCCTGATCAATATGAAGAGGCGAGCGTAGTATACTCGGAGACAGAATTCCCACGAAAGTGCGGATTCTGTCGTCACCGATTCTCGTCGAGACAGGAGCGAATTGATCATATTGCAGACCACTTCAAGCAGGGCAAGTGCATGCTCGACTGGCGCGATGACGATGACAACAATGGTGGCGATGATTCCACCGACGATGACAACGACGACCGACCAAGTGGAGACGGCTTCGATGGTAGCCCTTCCTTCCAACCACCACCCTTCCATCCACATGGCAACAACTCCAAGCCTTCCGGCGATCAGGGTAGCAGTGGTGGCTCTTCAGGGCAACCACCTCAGGGTGGTTTCTTCCACTTCCAGCTCTCACAGCTTGGTGAGAGCCAGCGGTATTGTGCGGTCAAACCTACCAGACTCACTACACTTTCGCCGAACATCTCTCCGTCATCAATCTCAATTGATGTCGATGGCACGGCACTACAAGACGAGGCGTTCAAGCCACAACATCCACTCGACAGGCACGTTCCGACAAAGGGAGACTACGAAGCTGCTCTGGCCGGAGATGCTTTCGCCCAGCCCATAATTAGGGAAGGTGGGTCGTCGCAGGATGAACGAACTGACAAGCGTGGCTTGGAGCATACGTTTGGAATCAATGCCACCGCTAGTACCGAGATTGAAACGCTGATTTCGACTCTCGTACCTTCTTGGAGCCAATTAGGAGCTTCACTAGAGGCATTGGCAACGAGCGAGGAAACTCCATCTTCTGAGTCATTGCCAGACCTAACAGTAACAGCACCTTCTCAATACAGCGATGCAACAGACCAACTATGTAGCCGACAGTCTACTCCGCAAATGCCCAAGTCCTCACGGGCCTTCCACAGTATCAAGCTCCTTGGTGCTGGAGGCTTTAGCACAGTCGACGAAGTGAAGCATCAACAAACGGGCCTACGTATCGGAAGGAAGACACTCAAGAATCGCAACCAGACGGCACTTGAGGAACTCAAGAAAGAAGTTAATGTCCTTCAAAAGCTACGTCACCCGCATATTATTCGCTTCCTTGGAGCCTACTCAAAGGGTGACAAGATGTCGATACTGCTTTCGCCTGTTGCAGAAACAACACTGGCAGTCTGGCTTGATCGGTCAGCATCACAACGACCTGCCAACCTGTTCGAGACCGTTATGAAGATGTTTGGTTGTCTCTCTTCCTCTGTCAGGTACCTCCATGAGCAGCGACCTGTTGTTAAGCACATGGACATCAAGCCCCAGAACATCCTTATTGTCGATGGCGATCAAGAGTTCCCGCACGTCATCCTTTCCGACTTTGGTGTCAGTTGTGCTGAAGAAGAATCCGACGATCAATCGCGACCCTGGACACGCCAATACATCGCACCTGAGGTCGTCGAAGGCTTCACTCGCAAGCAGGCTGCCGACATCTGGAGTCTGGGATGTGTCTTTGCAGAGATGGCATCTGTTCCATTGAGTCAACACAATCCGGAATGGTCAGCCTTTAGCAAGGAATACAATGGTCGCACAGGAACGTACTACTGGCAAGACGTACCAGACGTACAGAAGAAGCTCGCCATGTTCTTTGACTCAGCAAGGGGTCCAGCTGAACTGCTCCTTGTACGCGCACTCCAAGCTATGTTGAGAGCCCAGCCTGATGAGCGGCCGGATGCGGCATCGCTCACAATGATCTTTGCTCCTGCACCGTGCTGTCTCAACTGGCCGAACGACAAGATGACGTTCCCCGGCCCGCATGAGGAACTGCTAGAGGTAGAGAGATTTGGGAAACACCACTGCATTGATGGTAATACCCAGCCTCATCTGCATGACAAGGATGCGAACGACTGTTCTGACAATGTCCCCATTGCAAAGACCTGGCTGGATGATTGTTTGTGCACCCACAGTGCCTGTCACCACTTGTCTTCGGGCTACTCCACCGATCTCCCTAGACGCCTAATTGATATCCTTCCGGAAGGCAAGGCTAGCAACTACGTTCGCGTCGTTGAAAGCAAGTCTCACGAGGAACAGATGCAACATGTTCAATATGTTGCACTCAGTCACGTTTGGAGCGACACCGAGCCTCTACTTTCAAGCAATTCACAATCGAAGATGCAATCTGAACTCGCACTGGAAACACTGCCTAGTGCAGTAAGAAATGCGATTTCAGAGGTGCAACGTCTCGGCTTCCGATACTGCTGGCTGGATTCACTCTGCGTGCTCCAGGATTCAGATCAAGAAAAGGAACAAGAGTGCACAAACATGTCTTCAATCTTCCGCAATGCGGTCCTCACTGTCGTCCTTGACCAGCTGGCAAACCCCAGCACAAGCAAAGATGTTAAAAATGCAACCGAAGATACACAGTTTACCTCGACAATTTCTCCCATCAAGAATAGGAACACAATCGCGACTCGCCTCCCGGCCTCCGCCCTGCTGCCCCCTTCTATCCTCACAGCCCCCAACCTGGGCTGGGATACTCGGGCCTGGGCGCTCCAAGACCGTCTCCTGAGTCGCCGCTTCTTGCACTTGGGCGAACAATCATACTGGGAATGTAACACCCTCAAAGCCTCCGAGACCTTCCCTCGCGGTCTACCCGCGCTCCTTTGGGAAAAGGTCCACACACAATGTAGCGATGATGCCGAGGAAATGCGTGCACAAGCAAGCAATGCATTTCCTAGTGCAAAGATCTTCGCCATGGAATTCGACGATGCACACAATGCAAGCACGATTCCCCATCAGAAGCCCGCCGAGCCGCGTCCGCCACTGCCACCACTGCCGAGTGCCAGTCGTTTACGCGACTGTCAGTGGATTAAGAAACAAGGCGATGATGCGGCTCGGGATGCGAATGCGGTGCTAGCGACGCTGGGTGGGCGTGCTAGTTGTGCGGAGATACCGCAGTTTGATGATGGTGTATGTGTGTGTTGTAGTGATGGATGTAGTAGTAGCATGGCTATATGTAGGAGGAGTAGGAGTATGAATGGGAATGCCGATCTGGTGGAAGCAAATGCGAATGCAAATGCTAGGATATGGGGTGAAGGCAGTGGAGAGGTATTTGGCGATGCTGTCCACGCGACTGGACTGTCGTAGTCCGAGGGGTTTTTCATTTCATCACGCAGTTTCAGGGTCAAGTTTCTAGTTTCTAGTCTCGGTATTAAACCGAATCGCTTCTTTCATAGTTTCCTTTTGTATTCAATATACAAAGTTGTTTCTCCTTCAATCCCATCATGGCTTTTTTTCCCCTACGATTCCTTGAAACGCCAAAGTGAACTATGCTTTAACCTCACACTACATTTAAAAAAAACTTTCCCTTCATCACGCCTCGGGCCTAACCTTCCCCCTCCTCTCCCTCATACCCTCGACCCTCTTCCGATCCTCCTCAAACCGTCTCTTCAACTCGCCCTCCGCCTTCTTCCTCCTCTCACGATTCTGGAACCGGTAAAAGTCATCCGTAGCCCGATGATTCCTCTTGCGCTCATCCAGCTCCGCCTTCTTCTTCTCCGCCTCCTCTAAGCGCGCAGGTCCCACACGTCCGCCACGGACAACAGCCACGAAGCCATCTTCATCCGGTACCGAGCGGGCCGTCTTGCGAAGTCGATTGCGCATCGTTTCCAGGGCGTTGAATTGGGATAGATATGCATTAAGGCTAGCTTGAAGCGAGGAAGGCGGTGGGTACATGAGATTATTATGCGCCTTGTAACCTATCGTATCATCGTTAGCTCCCCTTGTAACCAACTTCACAAATAACGAAAAGAAAAATAGTGGGAAGAAAAAACTTACGGTCAACCCCCACCCCCTCCTCCCCCCTCCACACCACCTCCACCCCCTCCTTAACCACCCTCTGCACCCCCCTCACCGCCCCCCTCGCACTCTTCCCATCCACAAACACCACAACCCCCGCACTCCCACTCCTGCGTATCCCACTGCTCCAAAGCGGGGGTAACGCACTCTCGGCATCCTCCACCACACCCTCCGCTACAATCTCTTTATCATCCACCCCCCTTTTCCTCTTCTTTCCCTGCATAGCAGCCGTGCCGCCCGCCTCGCTCTTCCACCGCTTGTGCAACGGCTCCGCAGGCACAGAGGCGTCAAAGTCTACGCGCTCGATCATTGAGCCGCCGAGTTGCGAAGAGAAGAGCGTGCGGAGTGAGTTTTCGGAGGCGTCGGGCGGGAGGTTGGCGATGAAGAGGCTGCGGTCTGAGGAGGCGGTTGGGACGGAGGGCGTGTGCGGTTTGATGTATATGTAGTGTTTTGCGACAGAGCATTGGTCGGGGAGGCCTGGGAGCGGGGGGAGGGTGAGGGGGAGGACGGTGAAATCTGCGACGGTTTTCGGGGGCGGTTTGGCGGTTTTGGTGGGTTGCGGCGACATGGTGGGTAGTGGGTGATGGGTTTGCGCTGGGAGGTGAAGGGATCAACTGGAGGTGTTGTTGAGAATTGAGTATTTTTTAGCTTAAGCGCATGCGATGCTGATCCAGGCGCTGAATAGGGTATGCGCAAGGGAGTCCGCGATTGCGTGGTGGAGGTGTTCACATGTATGCGCTTGAAGTGGTAGAGTTCGTTGCTGGTGGACCTTCTGCGGTCACGAAATTTTGGCAGGGTTGGCACGGGCGCCATCTCTAGCTCCGTCACCAGCGCCGCGAGGCCAACTACTAGCTTCGTAGGTAACAGCATTTGTGTGAATACCATGACGAATCATCTTAATAATCAAAATACCAATTGCTGAGAAGATCAACCATAATGTATTTCTGTGCTAGACTAAGAATTATAGATTTTATAGCGAAACGCTCTATGCGAGCGAACCGTGGAGCAAAAATGTGGATATCAATAAAGTCGTTAGGCGTAAAAGACAGAAGTAATGATACCCTCAGCATGAAGAGCAAGCCCAGGTTCCAAATTGGTACCTTGATCCACTCTAACTGCATAAGCAGGGAACAGTCGTCAAATGCGTAACTGTCGAGCTGAGATAACAGGTGCAGGAGCATGCAATAGACAACGTTAGGCCAAGCTTCTACAGTAATGTAATTCGGGTATAGGTAACAATGCCGCTATGCAGCCGAGAATAGAAAAACCAAAGAGCGGCATGTAAACATCATGACGAAGTCTTGTAACCATAGAAACGTGACTGCCTTAGTTGAAACCACCCGGAATGCTCTTGATAGGAGATTCTGGGGGCGAATGGAGAGCCTCATTGTCTGCCTTGTTGTGTTCTGGCGATGGCTCGTGAGAGTATTTGGGCTTGAGTCGGTTGCCAATCTGTTCGAGTCTGCTGTCCTCTACAGAAGACAAAGATGAAGTCGAGTCTCCACGCATGAGGGAAGGAGTTGAATCCGGGCTATGCTTTGGGATAGTCGGAGAAGGCATGGCTGATGTTGTGTTCAGTGATCCATCTGAGTTGGTCGACATACGGTTGCGGAAGGGATTCCTGGCAGGCAGGGCCGGGGCAACGGGCTTCGCCACTTGGACGACGCGTGCACGAATTGCCTGCGGGGCTGCTGCCTGATGGATCTCATGAACAATTGGCTCCTCTTCGAACTCATCATCATCATCATCCTCGTCCTCGTCATCTTTGTTAAGATCCGCATTATCATGTGATGCCTCCTTCCGGAGAGAGCCGTTCGATTTGTCATCAATAGCCTTGCTTGATTGAGGCTGTGCTTGAGGTTGCGGTTCAGGAGCTGTAGGAGTAGCCTCTTCGGGCTTCTTTTCGGCACTCGTTGGTCGTGGCGGGGTAGGGTGTTCGATCGTTGTCTCGGGTATCTCTATCGTGGGAGTAGTAGGCGTAGGTGCGACGCTTGTTCGTGGTGGTAGTTTCGGGGCCGGTTTCTTGATGGTCGGAGGAGGTGGTGGCAGATCGTCGGTCTGCGTGCTCATATCAACCGTTGGTGCCCGAGGCTCAAATACGCTGCTGATGTTACTCATTCGCCAGCTCGATGGTCGGCTCCCGGCAATGCTCGACCGGTCCATACTCCTACGATATGTGGAGTTTCTAAAGGTGTTGTAAATAGGACTCGTCGGGCTGGGCTTGAATTCGAATTGCTCGCTTGATGGTCGGCTGTGTGTTCCTGCTTCCCTGATCTCCAGACCGGCCTCTTGTAGCGCAAGCACACCAAATGGATCGGGATCAACAGCGTCCGGGATGCCAAAAGTCTTCTCTTCGGGGCTTGTGATCTCAAAGTCACCCGGCGAAGCTTCGTCTGGAATCAAAGACTCATCGACATCGGTATCGCCTTGGGCTGATTTGAGTGTTTCCAGGAGTCTTCTTGTCTCTTGAGGTACGTGCTGCACTTTTCCAGCCAATATGTCCTTCACCCCTATGCGCTCGCCATAAAAACGCTCATTCTCATCAGTGCGTTCGATGACAATGGTTCCGTCTAGTTGAAGGCCGGCATAGAATCCTCGTGACTTGATGTAGGTGAAGAGGGGGGACTGCCGTTTGTGAATCTCGGTATCCAGCATGGCCCCAACACCAGCTGGACCTGCGACCGCGCTGATTTCCCCGCCCAGGGTGCATCTCACTGACTGAAAAGCCTCCAGTGCCTTGTCTGAATTGATGACAATGACACAGTCGTAGATGTCCACGCCTAAGAGAAAGCCCACGCCGACTGTATGCATCATGATGCCAGAGGGCGGTGACCATGTGCCGTCCTCTTTTCGCGCAACAAGTATACCGGCTCCACCGGATCCAGAGACCCAAAAGCCTGTCCGCATGGTTGTGAAGATGCAAAGACCTTTCGCATTTTGTATGACCTTGGACGGGATCTTCTTGAGCACTTTCTGCTTCCCTTGGGGCACATTGGCGGTGGCGGGTTGGTCTTCTTCCTCGTAGAAGCCATCCTCTGTGACAGGGTCAGTGAATGCGGGTGGACATGTAGCGGTGACATACTGCAGAAACTCTTGAGAATGCGCGCAGCCTTGTCAGACTCAATGTCGAGCGTCGTGGGCCAGAATGCCTCGGCGCCGACTCTGTTGGATAGGCGGTTGACGGGGGCACCGAGTTTGTCGACCCAGTTATAGACCTTGTCGAAGCCGGCTTTGGACTGGGTTTTCGTCTTGGACCACAGGGCCATGTTGGCGGGCTGACTACGTCACAGGCTGACTGGGTGCTAGAGGTGGATTTGAGTGTAACTACACATGGATGCAGAGCATGGAAGCGTGATGGATGGTCCAAGGGAAAAGCAAAGAAGGAGGGCAAGAGTCGGAAGCGTCGGGAATACGTGGTTGAGCAGCAGGCGACGACCGTTTTTCAGTTGCGCGGTACGTCAGCCGATGCAGGTGGTGGCGCTGCTGTAGGATCGGGTAGTTATGTTTAATAATGGCCTGGACAGTCGCTCGCAGGTGACTAACCCCTGTATCTTACGACTCGGACGAATTCTTAGGTGCCGTCATCAGATATTGATTTACCAGATGCAGCGGGTCGTCGAGGCGATTCCAAGACGGCTGCTGCCCACCACTAGGAGGGGACATGCACGTCGCCTGATTCGTTGAGGAGGCTGGGTCGTGAGTACTAGCCACTCGTTAGAGCGGAGCCAGGAACAAGCAGAAAAACACGATGAGGTAGAGGCCCGTCCCAATAGGGTTTGGGCACATATGCGGCGTGAATCAGTTGCACGTGGCCCATGGATGGTCGGCCTGCCTTCTGCTCCCGTCGTCGTCGTCTGACGCTGGCTCTGCTGCCTGTCGCGGAGAAACAGTGCCGCCGGCCTCCGAGCTGGCAACGCGCCAAGACCGGGCCGGATCAGGCGCGTCGCTCCGAAGCTCACCAAAGTTTATGTTTTGCGACCGCGACCACGGGCTGAACAAGGGACGAACGTATATCTCCACTTCACTCGTTGCGGCCCGCTGGCGCGCATATGCTGCGAATTCCGTGATACTGAAATTACCGCGCCCAAAGTGCTAGTCGCATTGTTGCTTGCAGACTACTAAGTCGGTCCACTGCCCTACTAGCCTGTCCGACGCCTGGGGCCGCAGAGCAGCACACCAGCAACTGCAATGTTTCGTGTCCCATCTCCCACTCCACCTTCCACGCCCGGCCGCGACTACGATAGCTACCCCGAGCCTCCCCCATCGACAACGCCTGCTGGCCATCCGCCCGGCATGAACAACGGCTTGTTTGGATCGTCGCGGCCAGCCTTTAACCCCAACCACTACGATTTCGGCGCTACTTCATTGTTTGGAAGCTCACCGCCCAAGCATGATCTGCTTGAGGGCGTTGGATCGGGTTCAATGGGCACTTCGACTGTAGGCCGACCTCATGTCCAGCGAGGACGTCCCACCAACTCGAGCCAGTTTCGCCCAGTTAATGGCGCGCAAAACAGACATGCTCAGAGCACAAACGACGAGGATGACTACACCGACGAGGACGAAGAAGAGTACGACGACGAAATGGACGACGAAGAGGGTTCTGAAGAGGAAGAAGAACACTACTCGCCACAACGGCGCAACAAGACACAGAGCAGGTTCGCCCAGTCGACAGTGTCAAGGACGAGCGCAAACGACGTGGAGCCAGGACCTACCTTGGTTCGGCCAGGCGCAAAGCAAACTCAGTTTGACCTTCTTGCGCTTGCAAAGGGCCTTACCTCGGACGCTGGTCGATCGCGTCTTCGCGAACCTGACCATCTGATACTCGACACGGAGTTGTTGGTCGAGAAGGTGTATGAATCGCTGCAATCGGACTCGCCAGAGAAGAGGACCGAGGTGGTTGGCTCTGTCGCTCACGAGTTGATAGCAACATGGCGAGCCGCGTCCAAGTCGACCTCCCGAAACAACACATCCTCAAGCCGACCAGAAAATGTAATGGAGCTTTCGCAGACCACACAACTGGCAGCTCTTTTGCTCACTCTACACCACCCTCCCCAAGTTGGACTAGACCAGCGAACCTCTGCCTTGTCCTTGGTACCAGCGCGATCTGAATCGAAACAATACACGCCAATCCCGAAAGCCTTGCTCGACTGGCTGAATAGCACATTCGATGGCGGCTCTGAGGTGACTGAGGTTTTGAAACAGACTGGTGGATATTCCAGACATCCTTCTTTCTGGGAGGTTGTGCATGTTACCATCGCCCGAGGAAAATTCGCACAAACTTTACAGCTACTCCAGGGCGCGCAGCTTGAACATGCCGAAACAGCCGACCATGACGGACTGGGACGCGCTGGATACACCGGAACGCATCTACAATATGCAAACCACGCACTCCGCCAAGCAATCGACCTTTTGCGTGAGTGTCCTGCTATCGCATCAGAAGATTGGGACATTAAAGGACATGATTGGACTATTTTCCGTCAGCGCGTTCAGCAAACCTCTGTTGGCTTGGAAGACTTTGCCGAAGGCGAAAGCGCGAGCCGTCACTCTATATCACAGCCCTTTCAAGCGGCCCACTTTGGCATTTCGCAGAGTCAAGCAAGCTTCCAACTCAGCGTAGCGAGCCGGAAAGCAGAAAGCAAAGTACCGTGGTCTGTCTATGAGAACCTGGAAAGGATGTATCAGCTCTTGCTTGGTAACGAGGAGGAGATTCTTACCTTGTCGGCCGATTGGATTGAAGCGACCGTTGGTCTGACCATCTGGTGGAACGGAGAGGAAGAGGAGCTCGGGCTAGGCAGTCTGGCAGCTAGCCGTCGTTCCCTGATGCGGTCACAACGGGTTCGCCCTGTTGACGTGACGCCGGTCAAAGCTTACACTCAGCGCCTCTCTGCTGCGCTTGCGGCGGTCATACAAAACAGCGACGAGGATTTCAGCATAAACTCTGTAGACCGTTTCGAGGTGGGTCTAGCATGCGTACTAGACAACAACGCAGAAGGCGCGCTCCAGATTCTTCAGGGCTGGTCTCTCACGATCGCTTCCGCAGTGGCTGAGATTGCCAGCGCGGGAGAGTGGTTCAAGGGTGCAAAGGGCTTGTTGGATCAATTTGATCAGGACGACCTGATGGTTCTGAGCTATACCGAGCAACAGCAGCCAAAGGGTGTGACAAAGGATGACTTGCTTGTTACCTACTCGGACCTGTTGGCATCCAAGGGACAAATTACAGGCAAAGAAGGCCAAGAGTTGAAAGAGGGATGGGAGCTGGCTGTGCAGGTCCTAGGAAGACTGGATGATACTATAGCGGCGAATGAGCGTATCGAGCGGATACTCAATGAGCTACCTCTTGAGTCGTCGAGTCGAGTCGATAAGATCACTCAGCTATGTCATAACCTGGGTCTTTCGCAACATGCAGTCACCATTGCTCAGGTACGTCACCACTTTGGACCCTCACTTGTTGATGCTGACCATGATAGAAATACGCCGACCATCTCCGCACCAATACCGAGAGCTACGGCGACACTCTCCTCTACTATGCCCGTGCTCACGATGCATCGAGAATTCAAGAAGTCCTTCGTGTGCTCGTTGCCCACTGCCTGGTCAAATCAATGGCGTACCCTCCTCTGGACGAACTGGACGAATCTCTCAGCTCGCTAATCACCTCTCCTAAACAAGCTCTGACTAAGCTCGCCAACACAGACTCTGAAGCTGCATCATTGCTCTCCAATCACCTTAGTGGTTACGCGACCATCCGCAAGTACTACGACCTGCGAGATGAAGAGGTGCTTTTGAAGAATGGTCAGAAACCAGCACACCGACCCATGGCTCGGAAACGTGCTGCTGCCAATTCACTCATGGTCATCATCGCCAGTGCAGCGTCGAGCATCCGGGGAGGACTGTACGATCCAGAGATTGAGACCGTAGTCCCCGTCGACGTTTTGCTACCACTTCTAGGCGAAGCCCTCATCTTCGTAAACCAACCCAAACGCACTCTGACTCTTCGCCATCTCTACGACCTTCTCGCCGCTGTCGAGGACTTGGATACTGCGCCCAGTATGATCCGAGCGCAGTGTGAGGAAGTGCTAAACACTACCTTGCTATCCGCACACGACGCCAACTCTTCACCACAAATACCGAACCCACACAATTTCCTCACCAAGTCGACTTCTAACGTGACCACGGCTTCGAGCCAGTACTCGATCATCGGATCCGCAGACTTTGGCTCCACAGACGGCCAGAGCGCTGAAGGCTCCACGGTATTGGTCAAGGGCGGTCACGTCGATGACAGCAAGCGCGGCTGGGATTGGCGCAAAGGCTTTCCCCAAGGCGCAAAGAGCGACGATATCATCGCTGTGTTGCGAGTCGGTGTAGCACGAGAAATTGGAAGAGCATTTGCCGAAGGCGAAGTCACTGCTTGAAAACATTATCTCATGCCGACGAAGCTAACGTTTGGGGGGTAAGGAGGATTTGATACCACGACTGTACGAGTAGTTTTATATTTACTGCCCGTTCAGAACGAAAGATGCGCCTTGGTTGTTTTTCAGTAACTTGCATAAGGAAACTTGGGAGTAGGAAAGCGCTTGTCATGCACTTGTTGGGGAGGGTATTGGAAATTAAAGTAATGAAATTAGCGTTTGAAAGAGCATTTGATGTCTTGTCCTTTTTTGTGTTTTGAAGTGTGAGGATGTTTGTTCGTGCCTTGGTGAAATCGTTACTGGTATGGGTTCGTATAGGTCAGTGGAGTGTGAAGAAATGGAACATTGTCACTCTTTTTTTTTTGGCATGGCAGCAGTGTACCTGTTATTTGACGATGACCGGTGCATGCCAATCGAATAAGATGCCGGTTGTAATTTAGATCTAGACCTAGGAGACTGTGATTCATCAGACTCCATACAATCTGAGCTGTCAAGTCTGTTAGTTGTACCATAAAACCTTCTTCGAGGCTGTTAGAGTGCAGGGATGCCAAGAACCCAAATGATATGGGGAGCGGCAAGATGTTCGACTTTCGTCTCGCATAGAATAAGACGGGCTGTTTGTAAGAAGTGTGCGCCGGGAGGGCGAGCGATGAAACTCACATATAGTCAAAGGGTGCCTAGTGGAAGGTGTCAAAAAGCCATAGATGTTGTATCAAGCTATTCGCAAATCATCCTGTGAAAAGCGAGTACAGTATTGAAGGGAGAGAGAACAGCTTGTCAAGAAAACGTCCAGTTCTTTTTTCAGCGGAGAAATAGTGACATTGCAGTGCCGCACTGGCTGCTGGAGGCTGCACAGCCCA